AGCCCTCCCGCCCGAGCGGCGGGGCGGCGACAGCCGATACCCACTCTTTACGGGAAAAAGTTTAACTAGTTCTGAGGCTTCCAACAATTCAATGAACATTTTCCTTGCAGAGCTTTTGAAAGAAGTTCCTGATTTGTCTCTCATAAGTGCTTGGGTGCTTTGACAATGCACTGATTTTTCCCGTGTATTTTAGAGTAAGTTTGAGTTTATAATATGAAATAAATATGAGTACTTACTGAAAACTCTGGAAAGTAGAGACAGAAGAGAAAGAAAAGCTTTATTTGATAGTGAAATACTTAATTGCTTTAAATGAGCAATACCTCAGCTGATGTCACAGTGTAATGTCCATTAATGCATTTAGTTATATGAGCAAATGCTACAGAGATTTACAAGGATTTGACTTACCAAACACTCTCTACAACCACAAATGCACAACTACAAGGACTCTGTGTGTCCACTGGAATTGCACACATATGCAAGTTGTGAATCATGACCCTTGAGAGTGAGTAGTGGTTAAGAAAAGAGTTCATCAGGTCATAAATAATTTGAGAGACATTTAATTTTTTGTGGAATAAGATTAATTAAATTTTTCAGAGAAGCAGCATTGCAGATGTTAATATCAGCAAATCAACTATTGAGAGTTCTAAATATTTTGAAGGAAATGAACAAAAAATCTGATAGTTGCAGCATTTTGTTTTGTTTTATTTAATTTCATTTTGTTTCATTTAATTTCATTCCAGGAAAATGAATTTAATTTCATCTCATTTTTAGAATCTCATTTCACTCCATAAAATTTCATAGAATTTCATTTCAGTAAATTTAATTTCATTAAATTTTAAAATTTAATTTATATAATTCTATAGAATGTCTTTTCATTTTACTTCATTCCAGCAAGTTTCATTTCATTTAATGAAATTAAACAAAATCACAGATCTACTACTAAATTGTGATTTTTTGAAATGCAGTTCAGGGCATGACAGCAAGACAGCAAGAATAGGGGAACATAAATAATGCTGTGCTCTATAAATAATCCTGTGGAAGCCCAGCTTCCCTACACCCATGGGGAGTGCAGAGCAGGTACCTGCCCTGTCAGCATGAATCAAACCAGACACCCCGAGAAACAAACAGGTCTGCCCAGTGCAGACACTGGCTTGTGGTCCAGCAGATGTCAACCCCAGTGATCATCCCAGCAGATTTGGATACAAGGTGGGTTTGGGTGGGCAGGGAGTGCACAGCAGGTACAGGGCTAAACCCACAGCTGCTCTTCCCCCTCCCGGGACATTACAGGGTGTGTCTTCAGGACAGCCAGGTGGCTCTTGGGGAAAGCAAGGGCTAGAAACTTCCCAATGGAGTTTGACTTCCAACCACGTTGATTGGAGCAACAGGAAATATAAAACAAATGAGAAGTCTCTGAACTTTCAAGTAAATGTCTGGGATATTCAGTTGATGGCATGAGTTTTTCTTCAGCCCTCTCTGTTTTGGTTGAGTCTCTCACTCATTCTTTGATGGAGGTCTGCCACATTTACCTTTGGCTTCCTGGAGGGTGCTGAAGCCCAGGGGAGAGAGGGCTGGTTCCAGCAGACTGTACTGGGGAGCCCTTCCCTGGGACCTCCAAGACACGAGGCAGAAAGGTGCACCCCAGTCTTCTGCTGCAGTGCCCATAGAGGCTGAGAGAGTTGGGGATGTTCAGCGTGGAGAAGAAAAGGCTCTGGGGAGACCTTAAAACACCTGTCAGAGCCCAAAGGGGCTGCAGGAGAACTGGAGAGGGACTTTGGACAAGAGAGGGAGTTGACAGGACAAAGGGGAATGGCTTTACAACAGTAGCTTGAGATGCAATGTTAGGGAGAAATTCTTACCTGTGAGGTTGATGAGGCCCTGGCACAGGTTGCCCAGAAAAGCTGTGGCTGCCTCTGGATCCCTGGGAGTGTTCCAGACCAGACTGGATGGGGCTTGGACCAGCCCAGGACAGTGGAAGGTGTCCCTCTCCCTGGCAAGGGGATGGAAGAAGATGATCTTTAAAGTCCTTTTCATTCTGTGATTCTGTGTTAGCCCTTACTCACCACTTAGCTGAATTTTCACAGCCTTTATTGCATGTCTCCATGTATTCACTCCTTACACATGGGATTTTCTTTGTCCAAATGCAGCAGCATCACCTTCAATTCCTTTATTTGACCTTTATGTACCAGAGGTCTCCAACCACCTCCCCAGCCCTACTTCTGAGGTGCCTCCTCACAACTGGTTTTTCCATGATCATCATGATCAAAGATTCCTGCCTTTTTTCCCCAAGAAGTCATGCCTCCCAAAAAATAAACTGTGCCTCTACTTTTATTTGGATCAGGTCCACAGATTCTGTTTTATCCTAGAGCTCAATATCCAGATGTCTGGGTGATTATTGTGGCTTTATGAATCTACAGCTGGAGGTCACCTCCAGGCTTGTTCGTAAGAATCATAAAATATTATCAGTTATCTAGTGTCAACGGTGTGATAAGTGCAACATAAGGCAATTTCACTGTGGTAGCCAACCTCCAATCTGTTTTCTTCCTGCTGGTTTTGTATCCAGCTAAATGGAGCACTCTGTGCAATTGCTCAACTGCTCTGAGAAGGGAGATTTGAACATCTTGCAGTCTGTAGGGTCTTGCTGTTGATTTCCAGTCCATCCAAGATTTATCCCTCGTGTCTTATCTCCAATGGTAATGGGCTGGGAGAACCTTTGCAATTTCATTTCCCCCCCTTCAACGCTTCAGCCTGAATCCTACTGTCTGCAGTTATCCAATGGCCAACTTTCCTGGCTCATAGACCATCCTGCTGCATCTGTGAGGATGTGTTGGGGATGAGAATGAGGTTGGAAATAGCTTGAGACGGGGAAAGTATTTCTATTTCTGGCCAATCTGTCAAGAAATGAAGGCTCCAGGCAGCTTCTTGCCTCCAGCACTGTTTGGGAATGTCTAAACCCTCTGAGCCCATGAAGGCATTGGAGTAGCCCTGGAGAGTCAGGGCTCAGAAGAGCGTTTTGCTCCTGCTGCATCACAGATGTCAGGGCAAATAGACACTCCAATTAGGCAGAGTCTCAGCTGGCCAATTAGACACTTCCAAGGAGTTTTTCCTAGTTATTTCCACTGCTGGGACAGTCTCTTGTGAGAGATAACAGCAGCAGTTTGGTTATTTTAATGGCTTCATTTAGTCTGTGTAAATATTGTCAGAAAGTGACCTTTAGCATCTACCAGCATGAGGTGAAGTCCCTTGCTGCCCAAAAACTGGTTTCCAGAGCCTCTGAACCATTTACCATATATTTAACTCACCCAGGAGGTGTTTCACTCTACAAACTGGAAACTCTGAAATAACTCACGATGAAACATGACTTAATGAAGAGGTGGCTGTGCATCTTCTCCAGGATGGGCTTACACCAAGAAAGGATGAAACCAAAGAGCAGCTGAAGTCCCCATTTAATGACTTTATAGCACTTTCCAATGCCTAAAGGTGCTCCAAGAGAGCTGGAGAGGGGCTTTGGACAAGGATGTGGAGGGACAGGACAAGGGGAAAGGGCTTCACACCAACAATAGCTGTAGATCAGATATTAAGAAGAAATTCTTCCCTGTAAGGATGGTGAGGCCCTAGCACAAGTTGTCCAGGGCAGCTGTGGCTGATCCTGGCTCCCTGGCAGTGTCCAAGACCAGGCTGGATGGGGCTTGGAGCAAGCTTCTGGTGGAAGGTGTTCTAGTGGAAGGTGTCCCTGCCCATGGCAAGAGTCAGAACTGGGGGATTTTTAAGGCCCTTTCAACATAAATCATTCTGTGATTCTATAATTCTGTTTACTGAGGCAGATCAAAGAGTTGAGCTTCCTGAAGACTAAAGATTTAGTTAAAGCACAGCTTGAAAAGAAAAAAATCTAAAGGGCTCACAAGTATTCTAAAGCTATCAAACCAAAATATTTTAACATTTTAAGTTTAAGAGTGAGGCCTTTTCATTTTTCATTTTAGAAGGGCTTCTTACTTCAGTCTCTTGTGTACTGGAAAAGGAAACAGTCAAAATAGAAAAAGAACCCTTTGATGGACCAGAACTTTTGAGGGATATTCAGTGTTTCTCTCCAGCAGAAGTTGTAATGTTCTCTCTGAGTCAGAACAAGGACCTGCTTTGGAATTGTGGATTAGTTTCATGATGAAGTAAGTGGGTTGTCGCTGTAACTCACTAATGATTAGAGATTATTTACATACTGGGTTTGAGTGAAGCATGGTGAGGAACAACATGCATTCATTTAAGGCAGGAAATAGGGTATTTTATTTCATCTTTCTGTGACCAGTGACAGGGCCCGAGGGAATGGCTGGTGCTGTGTTGGGGCAGGTTTAGGTGGAGATCGGGAGAGGCTCATCCATCCTCCACAGGGTGCTCAGGCAGTGCCCAGGCTCCCCAGGGAGTGGCCGTGGTGCCAGGGCTGCCAGAGCTCCAGCAGCGCTGGGGCAATGCGCTCAGGCTCAGGTGGGATTGTTGGGGTGTCCTGTGCAGAGCCAGGAGCTGGACTCAGTGATCCTGATGGATTCCTTCTAGCTCAGGACATTCTGTTTTCTATGATTGATTTTATCTAATCACAGCAATAATAGGCTGGAACATTTGACTTCTCATCATCTCCAGCTTTCAGAAACAATGTGGAGATCTGTCAACACTGTCAAGGCCTAGAGTAATTATAAAATCAATGAATGTTTTAGGTTGGAATGACCTTAAAGATCATCTCATTACACCCCTTGCCATGGACAGAGACACCTTCCAGTAGGCCAGGTTTCTCCCAGCCCCAGTGTCCAACCTGACCTTGGACACTTCCAGGGATAGGGCAGCTACAGCTGCTCTGGGCAACCTGTGCCAAGGTCTCACTACCCTCACAGGGAATAATCTCCTCTCAATATTCAATCTAATCTTGCCCTCTCTCACTTTAAACCAAGCTTTAAACTGAAAGTTGAAACTGAGCCCTCTGCAGTGCAGCCCACAGTGTTCCCTAAGAAAACTTGAAGCGATGGATGTACAAGCTTGGGGGATATGGTTAAATAAATTTGGTGTCCCAGACTTGGTTCGTGGGGCAATGAATTTCCTCCCCTCTTTGTTTTACTCACCTAGTTCTTGGGACCTTGGCCATGATGTGGTCCTCATGTGTTTTCTTCCTGTAAAACTGAGTAAGAAAGAAAAGCAATTCAACAGCCCTGATTTTTTTTCTCCTTTCCAACAATCTCAATGCCACCTGCACTGCAGGTCTGCAAGTTAATCTCATGAATGCTTGTGCACACACAGGATCGGTATGATTGCAATCTGCGCATGAAAACCAATTCAGTGCAGACAGGAGGGAGGCTCCGGGGGGAAACACAGCCAGAAATCAATTGACTCGTCTGTGTATCAAAAGCACTGGAGAGAATCCCATCAATAAGATATAAACCACAAAACACCTTTACCTCCCTCCCTCCTGAAGCATTTGATAAGTGAATATAAAATACATGAAGGTCACGAGAAAGGGAGTTGGCACCTCTGTGTTGCTGTTAACGAGGAAAAGAGGCAGAGAAAGAAGCAGCAGGAGAAGAAAACAGGGATATTAAAGGAACTTTGGAGAGAATCACAGATTTCCTAAGGTTGGAAAAGCCCTCTGAGATCACCAAGCCCAATTGCTACCCCAGCATTGCCAAGGCCACCACTAACCCACATCTCCAAGTGCCACACCCACACAGCTTTTAAATCTCTCCAGGGATGGGGACTGGGGACTCCACCGCTGCCCTGGGCAGCTGTGCCAGGGCTGGGCAGCTGTGCCAGGGCTGGGCAGCCTTTCCAGGAAGGCATTTTCCCTAATACCCAGCCTGCAACTTCTCTGGAGCAACTTGAGGCTGTTTCCTCCAGAGGGGATAAAAGAGATAGTGAAGGATTGTGGTTCACACTTGCAGGGACGAATACCTGTGGATGTGAGTAGGCACCTTTGACACTCCTGCTCCAGCTTTGTGCCTCCTGCTCTCCAGGAAAATGGTCTTTTCAAAATGTGGGATGCCACAAAGAATCCACAAATCTGGGGGGTGTGAAGTACAGGAGGGCAGGGAAGGAAAAAGCTGAAGTACAGCATGTGAGCATTTTCCCAACCTCCTCTTCTTGATCTCCCTAGAAAGAAAAGTTGGGTTGAAATCTCCATGTGGAATTTGCCTCTGGAGCTGGATGCAGCCAATGTGAATTAAGATTCAGTTACTTTGATGGGCACAGCATTCAGCAGGGACAGCAAAAAGACATGAGAATCTTTAAGCCTCTTGCCTCTTCATCAGCACTACCAGGAGGGTTTCAGTCATGGACACGACTGCTTGGATTAGGTTTAATGTGGAGGAGAGCCCTTGGATAGCACGAACAATATTCACATCAATGAAGACTGGGAAAGGAATGATCTGAGGAGTGACAGGTGGCAAAGAATGAGTGCTGAAAGTTTTGGTTGCGTAAGATGCAAAAGAAATATCAGATAACAAAGAAACAAGCATATAAGAAAGAAAAATCAGATAAACAAAGAAGCAAAAAGCTGAGATCTAGGTGCTATATTTGGGTGAAAACCACAACAACAATCCCCGTCTGTCCATCAGATACTTTCTAGGTGAGAAAAAGCAGGCTGAAATGGAACCTGAACCAAGGAATTGCATGTTTTATCTCCTCTTTTCATCCTTATTCATTTAAAAAAGGACCAAAAAGCAATAATAACCTCCTTTGTCTTATCCTGGAAAATACTTTGCCTTCCCAAATCCTTGAAAATGCAATTAATTTTTCTCTTACAGTTCTCTACCAGCTATTTTGTCTCCTGTGCAAGAGAGGATTGAGTACAATGACATAGAGATGCCTATATCTCTTAAAAGCAAATAAAGGTGCTACACAGAGAGAAAGCCACCCCACACCCTGTCCGTTGCACATGGCTCCTTGGCCACATCCAGGGGTTGCATCCCTGCTGCCATGCTTGGGGCCAGAGAAGTAAGGAGGCCATGGGGACCTCATCCTCTCTCCCTGACCCCTCTCCATCCTCCCCCTCCTTGGGCCACAAGAGCTCCTATCTTGGCCAGTGGCCCTGAGATGCTCTAGAATCCTCCTCATGTCCCAGCTGGATGGGCATTCAGCTTGCAGCCTTCATTAGAGGTTTTCAAAAGAGGAGCATCAGGAAATTGCCAAAATAACCCACCATGAAAATAAGTTAAGAAAAGATTTTTACCCTTCCTATACCAGCACAGTTAATACTAAGGAAATTTACAGATCTGGACAAAATAAAAGGTTTAGACTGAGGAGAAGTAACCTAAATTTTAATGAAAAGGCTTCAGAGATGCTGCAGAATCAGACTAGTTAATCAAACTAATTAAATGATTGCGAGATACACTAGTAGCATGGCTCAGTGAAATGAAGAAAAAGAGAAGAGACTAGAAATTCTCTGTTCTCTTTCTAGAAATGTGCTGAATTTTGTTTCCCCTGCAGGTCCAGCCAGGCAGGTTTTAGTTGCTTAGAAATCCTTGTTGTTGTACAGACACAGAAGCCTGTCTTTATTTACCCAGGAATTCCTATAATACACAAGCTCTTCAGGCAAACCCTTCTTCAGCATTTAAGTGGTATTTTTAAGGGGCATTTGAATGAGAGCTGGCACCATGATTTTGCTTCTCTTGTGGAAACAAGCAAGGCAGTGCATCATAAATTAGTTAATTTTCCTTCACAAAGAGGACACTTACTATTTACTGTCCCTGTTAGTATCTTGGACTGCCTGGTAATGAAATATTTAATGCCAAGGTATTTATGTCACCTGCCAACTTGCCAAGAGCACAGGATTGTGTAGCAGATAGGGCCTGGCATTCGGAAGATCTCGTGATGTTACAGGAAGACAGGGCCCCTGCCCCCTTAGATAAGAAAATTAACATAGGAATGTAGCCCCCCGAACTGGATTCCAGTAACTTTCCACTTGCCCAGGTAACTTTCCATCCCCTACTAACCATAGATGGTAAAGACAGACCCCCACCTGACGTAGAAGCCCCCTAGACTATAAAACCCCACGGGAAGAGAGAATAAAGGCCTTTGATCCTCCACCATATTGGTGTCCGCGTGTTTCTTAGGCCCGAGCGACCCTGGGGAAATGTGTCGCCGTGCTGTTTCCTGAAACCAGGCCGCCTGCCTTGTATCAGAAGGCAACAGGATTGTGAATGAGGGTGTTAATTACTGCAGGAGAAAGGAACCGCTTGTAGAGGTCAGAGAACAGCCTATGGTGGAGCCCAGGAGTAGCAACAGCAAAACATTTGTGATGAACATGCTATTTCCATGGAAAACAGGGAACAGTTTCATACCCTGGCTTAAGGGGCAGCTGCTTGCCTTGCTGGGCCAGGAGGATGTGCTGAGGATCACAGAATCATGGAATGGTTTGGGCTGGAAGGGACCTCAAAGACCATCTAATTCCACCTTCTTCCATGGGCAGGGACACCTTCTACTATCCCAGGTTTCTCCAACTTGGCCTGGAACACTTCCAGGGATGGGGCAGCCAGTTCTGTTGGCAACCAGTTCCAGAGGCTCACCACCCTCACAGCCAGGAATTCCCTCCCAATATCCTATCTAACCCTGCCCTCTGGCAGTGGGAAGCCATTCCCCCTGGTCCTGCAAGGCAATCAACACCTTTGTCCAAAGTCCTTCTCCAGCTCCCTTGGAGCCTCTTTAGGCACTGGAGGCTTCTCAAAGGTCTCCCCTCTCTTCTCCAGGCAGAACCACCCGAGCTCTCAAGGGTGAATGCAGGCAGAATGTGACCTAGCACGCTGTGGGTCAGGGTGTTGGGAGCAGTCCATTAAATGGTGGCTGCAGTCCCCCTGGAGTGCTGGATGTGTTTCTGTTGAAGCGATGATCCTGTAGAAGGGTCTGGTCCTTCTCTGAAGGTCCAGTGGTGGTTATGGAGGTCTTGTCCTCTGGGAATCCAGTGGGTAGTGCTGCTGATGGTGTCCCAGACCTCAGCTGATATCCAGGTAGGAGTGCTTGGTTCCTCCCCCTGGGTGGATCATCCTACAGTGGGGTGATGTAATTTTGAGTCATGAGGGGAGCCCTTGATGGCCCATTAGCAGAAGATATCACCAGGAGGGAGCTCTGGGGGATGAGTCATGGAGAGGATAAAGAACACTGCCCCTCCTACCTCAACAGCTTATGAAGATGGTAATAGAATACATATTTTTGGTTACATCTTACACTGTAACCTAAGAGACAAAGGATGTGCAGCTGTCTTGCAAAGGAGAGTCCTGAAATGCTGCATTTTGGGCTTTATTTCAGGGAATCCCTTAAGTGCATAGCTAATTTTAAGGACATACTTAACTCCTTCCCCTGAGCAGGTTTTCTTTCCCAGCCAGAACCAAGGCAAACACTGTCTTTTATTTCCAGGGCATTCATCTGGAATTTTTCACAAGCCTTGAACTCAATAACAGTACTTCTAATTTCTTACCAGAAAACAAGTTTCTGTGGTTAGTAAAAAATGACTCCACCTAGAAGGAAGCAAGACATCCTTTGATTGGTGTTCCTTGAGTTGTCCTTGAAGAGGAGTGGTGGAAGGGGACAGAATAACTTTATACAGCTGCTGGCAATAAATTATTAAAAGCTTTATGAATACAGCATATTATCTGTCCATGTGCCTTCAGGCATTTTCTGTTCCTTTTCTGCTTTTAAAGCAATTAATCTTGCAACTGCTCATAATTTTCAGAGTCAGTCTTACAACTCTGGAGAATGTGTGAAAATTGGAGAAACTGGAGCAAGCCAGTGGCAGAGGAGCTGAGGATTCCCACCATGCTTCCCACCAGTGGGGGCTTGCAGAATGGAACCATCCTTAGTGGGATGTTTTCTGGGGTATTTTATTGGAAATTGAAAGTTCCCATGCTGGGACTCTCATCCCTTTCTTGGAGAGCTGCTCCTGGCTGTTAGAAAATGCATTTTCCATGTCAGTCTGTTCTTCCTTATATTAATTCCATTACTCTCAGCTCTCTCTTCTATGCCGTCCCTGAATCACTTATTTCTTGCTTGCAGCCCTAGTCTACTTCCTAAGCGCCAAACAGAAAATTGTGCTGCTTTTTTCTTTCTTGTCAAAGTACTCTAAAAATCAAAATTTTCATTTACTTCTAGGCTTCACAGCAATGTTTCACCTAATATGAAACTACTTGGGCCCCTATAAATCATAAAAAGAGTTCAGGTCTTCATAGCCTTCTCACTTTTATGTCTGCCAGTAGGAGATATGGACCAGGATGCTGCCTTAGAGGCCTGTCCAGGGGATCCCAGACTCACAGACAGAGGCTGGAGTTGGGGGAGCGCTCTTCTCCTTCTCTCTGCCCACATCGGGGCAATTTTGTATGAGTAATGAAAGAGAAAAAGAGAAGGGTTCTTCATTTTTTTCTCTGTTCTGAGTGAATGTTCTGCACTGTCAGCTCGACCTGTTCCCAGCGTCACCTTAGTGATTACTTAAGTGCTTCATACTCAGCTGAACAGCTTGATCAGGACACCACAGAGCCCTGAACCATGTCAGGATACCAGCGAGCCTTGTTGCTATGGCAGGGAAGAAGTGGTTCAAGTTTAAGCAGCGGTGCATGGATTTTAAGGACCCCCAGATTGTCCCAATGGGCTGCAGCTTGGGGTTGAAGGTATCCTGTGGGTCCACAGCAGCAGGATGGTGCAGCCACTGACATTTCCAGTAAAACAGGGCTTCACCAGTTCCTCCAGCAATCCTTCTGCCCAGATGCTGCAGGACTTTTGCCTGGTAAAAATAATTTGGCTTGAATTTGTAAATAGTCTGGGATCTTGATTCTGGCAAATTTATCCTTGCTGAGAAAGCTTCTCCTCACTCCAGTACAGATTGTGGAAGCTGGGCTGCTCCAAATGCTGTCATGAGGAGTTGCAAAGCCTCCTCTGGACAGTGTGGAAAGGAGAGCCCCGTGGCTCAGATGGGACTTCTCACCATGGGGAGGTTGGAGCCAAATCACTTTGAGTGCTGAAATCTGTTCAGCTGGAAGGTGCTACAGATCCAACCTGATGAGTGATACACAGAGTGATTACATCCAAAAGGAACTTCAGAGGGGGTTGATGTGGAGCAACCGAGAAAGCCCCTGGGCTGTGCCAGCTTTGGGGTGGCAGCAGGGCCAGGGCAGTGCCACAGTGTCCCTGTGCTGGCACTGCTTGGGCACCTCCAGGGCTGGGGCAGCTCTGGAGGGGCTGGAGCATGGCCAGGGCAGGAACAGAGCTGCCTGGGAAGGGGCTGCAGAATCCCTGAGGGAGCTGGGAAGGGGCTGGAGGATCCCTGAGGGAGCTGGGAAGGGACTGGAGAATCCCTGAGGGAGCTGGGCAGGGGCTCAGCCTGGAGCAAAGGAGGCTCAGGGGGCCCTTGTGGCTCTGCACAGCTCCTGCCAGGAAGGCACAGCCAGGGGGATTTGGGATCTTATCCTAGAGAACAGGGACAGGAGCAGAGGGAACGGCCTCAGGTTGCACCAGGGTGGGCATTGGGGAATTAGGGAAAGGGTTGTCCAGCCCTGGTACAGCTGCCCAGGACAGTGGTCCCCATGCCTGGGGGGGATTTCAAAGCCCTGTGGATGTGGCACTTGGGGACATGGGGCAGAGGTGGTCCTGGCAGTGATGAGGTTGCAGTTGGACTCAATGGTCTTGGAGCGGTTTTCTGGCCTAAATGAGTCTAAGTGTTGTTCTGGGTTTGTGACAGGAGCACATCCTTGGGAAATCCCTGGCATTTGGGATGTCATTTCACAGCTCTTTGGGAAAAGGACTTGCTGCATGGAGAGGTCTGTGGGAGGGAGCAGAGGGGGTGTTGGTAGCAGTGCCTGCCAGCAGCAGGGTGGTGGCAGCCGGGCTTGCAGAGCAGCCAGGAGATGGAGCCCACATACAAGACACCACAGATTCCAACCTCCTGCCACAGTCCCAGGGTGCTCCAAGCCCCATCCAACCTGGCCTTGAACACTGCCAGGGATGGGGCGGTCACAGCTTCTCTTGGCAACCTGTGCCAGGGCCTCCCCACCTACACAGGGAACAATTCCTTCCCCATATCCCATCCATCCCTGCTGTCTGGCAGTGGGAAGCCATTCCCTGTGTCCTGTCCCTCTATCCCTTGTCCCCAGTCCTTCTCCAACGTTCTTGTAAGCCCCCTTTTAGGCATGCAGCCTGATCTCACTTCTGCCAGTCCCTGTTGAATGCAGACTTTCAGCCTGGTGTGGGAGTGCTCTGGTGAGGGGCAGCTCTGGGCATCCCCACCTTAGGGGTTTGCAGGATGGCTCA